GATGTCCGGGTCAGGGCATTTTTCTGTCAGCAGAGAGTAGTCTTCAACTCACAGGATGGTGTGATTCGGACTGGGCAGCATGTCCTTTGACGAGGCGGTCACTGACAGGGTGGTTTGTGCAGCTTGGAGACTCGCCTGTCTCATGGAAAACAAAGAAGCAGTCGACGGTGGCTCGCTCGTCTGCTGAAGCAGAGTATAGAGCTTTGGCGGTTCTTACATGTGAGTTGAAGTGGTTGAAGAATGTATTGCGGTGTTTAGGGGTTGAGCATAAGAACCCCATGACGGTCCGGTGTGACAGCACGGCAGCACTTCACATTGCTGCTAATCCGGTTTTCCACGAACGCACGAAGCACATTGAGATTGATTGTCACTTCGTTCGTGATGAGCTCTTGCGAGGAGAGATTCGTACACTTCATGTGCCTACTACGCATCAGCTTGCAGACATTCATACAAAGGCACTCGGAAAGTCACGTTTGGAGTTTCTTCTTCCCAAGTTGGGCATTTCGTTACTACATGCTCCAACTTGAGGGGGGGTGTTAAAGGAAAGAAAATATTTGGTAGAATATTTGGAGATATTTGTGTATATATTATTTTTGGTAGCTTTCTTGTATAGGGTTGATTTCGTTTCCTTTTGTGATTAGGTTTCTCAATCTGTGAGAGCCTATATATACATGTCTACTTTGTAAATTGAACACAAGAAATCCAGAGAGAATTTCCTCCCAATTATTCTTTCATAATTCTTTCAAGATTCAATCAGATCATATCATAATTTCAAATAATCATATCATATCAAGCGAATGGATCACAACCTAATCTAGGACGTTTTTTTTTTTTTGCATAAAGGTTGAATCCCCAAATTCAACTTCAACAACCCGCCACACCCCGACCCGACGAGATATATAAGTGTTGAGAGAGAAATCAAGATCTAATGGCCCGTTTAAGAAGAAAACTCATCCCCATAGATATTCAAAAGAGCTCATTATTCTTATAGTTGGTGTAAATTGGTTTGAGCAAAAGTTGAAAACTTTTTAAAGAAGGATGGTGGATGGAGTGTCATATCATACATTTGTTGGTGGGGGTAGGAGGCATATATACGTGTGTGTATTCCGTGTATTTGTCTAGTTTGACTTTTTTCGAGTCAAACTGAACAAACTTTGAACTTTAATTAAATAAAAATCATAATGTATTGTAACATAAAAAAACTTTATTAGAATGATTTATCGTATTGAGAACTTTCAAAATTATATTTCATTATGCTAATATGCAATATAAATTGAGAGTAACTGAACAAATAGCCTGGAACATTAAAATATCACTATTACTTCCATAATTTATTAATATTATGGGCATGAAGGAAGAAGACAAAAGAAGCACCTAAAAAGAGTTGATGTGACATGAAATGTTAGTGTATTGTGTAGTGTTTGTGTAATGAGATGAGAAAATAACGCGTAACAGATTGTTTTTTGCTTTATATGTCGAGTTTGGTAGACACAACATATTGGCCTCATTTCACGTCCATCCATCGACCTCATCACTTTAATTTCTTTAATTAAATTTGTACCAACAAATTGGATGCCCGCTTCTGCTATGCTGCTTCCCTGTTGTATACTCCACCCGTTCCAAAAAATCAGTTACTTATTAAAAAATTTGCAATCTCTTAAAGTCCTTTACATTTTTATTAAAAACCATTATCCCTTAATTACTTTTTTATACCATATCTATCAAACCATATCTTTTTCCTAATAATCTATCCATTACATCATACTTTTACCCATCACATCAATTCAAAGATATTTTTGGAAAGTCAACACCAAAATATCCATTCTTATCTTACCACTTTAGTCAAAATATTCATCCTTATTTTACCACTTTAGTCAAAATATTCATCTTTATTTTACTACTTTAGTCAAAATGTCCCAATATTACACACACTCCGCATATATGTTTCCCGGCCCGGCCTCCACCGGCCGGCACTCCACATGCCTAATCGTTCGTTCATTTGCTACGTGCCTATACCCCCACACCTCCATTCCATGCATGCTCCATTATTATTCTTTTTCCAATCACTAATAATTATATTCTCTCTATAAAAACTTGAAAAAACTCTAAATTAATTTGCAATTTTTTTATTTAACTTGTTACTTACATCAATAAAACGTACTCTTTTAATGTGCTGACGACGATAAACACCCCGACTTTTTTAAAAAAATACCCCAAGTATTATTAGATTCTTGGTTAAATACAGACTCGTGTGTCTTAGACCAAATCTTATCTCATGGAGCACTGAAAAACAAACTCGTGTGTCTAAGGCCTCTACAGAAGCTGAGTATCGAGCTCTCATCTATTGCCTCCGAGGTCATGTATCTTACCTATGTCCTTCTTGACGTACGTACTTGTGTCTACCAGTCTCACCTCCAAAACTTTTCAGGGACAATCAGTCCTCTATTTGTCTCACAAAGAAATCCAGTCTTTCATAAGCAAATGAAGCATGTGGGTACTGATTGTCACTTTATTCGTGGACAAGTTATTGCTGGTAGTATGACCATGTCTCATGTTTTCCCTGAAAATCAACTTGCTGATTTATTGACCAAGCCCTTAGAAAAGTCACGATTTCTGACTCTTGTCTCCAAGCTTCCGTTCACGACACGACGTTCAGGTTGAGGGGGATGTTAGACAATAATACTAATCCTAATTATTGTAGTATTAGTATTTATGTTTTTAGTCAACTACTACTCTTGTTCCTAGTCCTAGTTGGGGTTGTATACCCCTTCTATATATATCCACTATCATGAACGGAGTATTGTATTATCATTTGAAAAATACAGTTGTTTCAGTATCTCAATACGTCGTCCCAAACGGAAACGACAACAATGTCAAATAATGGCATTTTACACCACCATCGTTCCCTTTTAGGAGATGATGAAGATATAAAAAAATCTTATTTTCAAATAAGTTAGTTTTAAGTTTAGAAGATTACTTTATTGTTTTATATCCATGCATACTATGAGGTATTTTCATAGTAGCTAGGAGTCGCCAATTTTGGAGAAACCAAGGAGTCAAATTAAAGTACTATAGTAGAAATATTTCTCGATCTCCCTTCTTAATATCTCTCATATAATAATAATACCTTTAAATACAAAAATTATTTGTGTTATACTCCCTCCAATATGTTCGTAAATAATTTTCTCATTTGAATTTTTTTGTCAAAGTTTATAAATTTAATTTGATTCTGATATGTTGAAAAAAAATACATTTTATTAGAATATAAATTGAATATCATTATATTCCTATTGTAACGTGATTTTGAAATATCCGTTTTTCATAAAATATATCTATGTATAATAAATATAGATATTAATAGGCAAAAATAAAGAAGTTGATTTCCAATTTTGCCCCTGATGTGATGAGTAAAAGTAAGATGTGATGGATAGATTATTAGAGAAAAAATATGATGTGATAGGTAGGGTATGAAAAAGTAAGGGTAAAACTGGTTTTTTAATAGAAAGGAGAAGTGTTTTGTTGGAAGTGAAAAAAATGAAAGAAGAAGTGTTTTTGAGAACGGAGGGAGTAGAAACTAACGGATAATGTATCTAATAAGGTTGAAATAAAATTGAAAATATTTAAAAGTATATACAGCTAGCTTACGGCTTAGAATACTTCCAAAGGCAAAGGGTTTGGTGTAAGTGGGCGGCCGGCCCCTACACTGCGCCGTACACAAAACAATGCAAACCATGATGTTGATCATATTTCTCACTAAAATACTCCATGAATCCCATGATGTTGATCATATTCTTCTTCTTTATTTCATAAGTCCCAAAAAACTTCTCTTTTTTTAAAATTCCTTTTTCTTTAAATCCCTTTTACCTATAAGGGTACACCTTTGGTATACCCCATATATCCCCTACCCCCTCCTTGTCCACTAAAAAGGCAAAACTCCTTGTCCACTAAAAAGGCAAAAAAATTAAAAAAAATAAGTAAATAAAAATCAAATAAAAATGTGTGATGGAGAAGGGGGTGGTGTACATTTGGGGTACACCTCTTAGTGTACCCTAGCATTGTTCTAATTCTTAACCTACCTATCACATTACATTTTTTTCTCAATTTAGGGAGAGAGCACAACTAGTAATGTAACATCTCAGAAAGATTTTATAATCTAATACTGACGACTTACTCATGTACTGGGTCCGATTGTTAGCCTCTTTTTCTTGTATACTTCATTTTTTAGGAGAATGAAAATCTGCCGCCATTCTTTTTTAAATAGCTTTAAAAAAAAAGAAAACATGGCATTTCTAGGGACGGAATGAGTATATATATATTCCCTCCAACCCAAGCTTTAGATTAAAATTTAAAACAATTAAACACCTTATAAGGCACATTTAGGTGAAATTCTTTTTAGCTTGAAAAATTAAAAGATATGATAAGTAGGTTAAAAATTAATACAGATAAATATAATTTTTTAGTAGAAAAGATAAGACTTTTGCCGGACAAGAAGAAAAAAAGAGTTTTTGAGACCATGAAATATGACTTAAAAACATTACTTTCAAATGGATAAGATTCAAGATAGAATTGCTTATTTATTTGAACTTTTAATAAGCAACCTTATTAAAAGACTCAATACCATATAATGAGTGGGGCCTTTTGAGATCGCTAGCTACAAAGTCACCGCGCAACCTTAGAAAGCTTTGCTCTAGTACGTGAATAGCACTAAAACATAATGACTTTCCTTAAATAGCACTACATATATTTTTTTCTTAATATAGCACTTTTAGTCATTATTCAAGTAAATGTTTGTCATCACTGGTCATTATGGATATTATTAAGTTCTATCTAGGGAAGAAAACAATCTAAATGCTATTTAGAGAAATGACTTAAATTTTAGTGCTATTTATTGAAAATATTTCTATTAATATTATTACGGCCCAGTTCTAGTGACACCGGATAACGGTGTCATTAGGTTTTTGGGGCACTTCCGGTGCTCCGTTCGTAAAATTGACGGTTCCTACCCTCCTTAACCCACCCCCTAAACCCCCCACCTTATCTCCACCCCTACACCCCCACCCCAACCCCGTCGTAACCCCCCATAGAATGTGTGGTTATTATGCATTGCATAATAGCTTGCATAATAGCCACACATTTTGTGTGTGGGGGGGGGGGTTACGGCGGGGTTGGGGTGAGGGTAGGGTGGGGGGTTTAGGGGGTGGGTTAGAGGGTAGGAACCGTCAATTTTATGAACGGAGCACCGGAGGTGCCCCAAAAACCCAGTGGCACCGTTTTCCGGTGTCACTGAAACCGGACCGTTGTTGTTGTTATTATAAGAGGGGTTAATTTGAGGATAATAGAAGGAAAATAAAATATGGGTGAAAAAGGTGGAGCCGTCGTCGCCGGATTTACCGATGATGACGGTGAAAGCGAATAACTTTTTTAGGTCACCAAAAACGGTAACTCCGATAACATGTTAAAATATTGGGATAATAAAATTGTGTATTATATTATGTAGTACTTGATAGAGTATGTATATGAAAGACTCCTAATGCATCTTGAAATAGAGAATGGAATTGAAACTAATGGTCACACTGGTACATGCCAATGCCACATTGCCATTCTGCCAACCACCAACGCTTGTTATCAGAGTGACACCAGCACTTGAATTACACTCTCATATTACACGACCAACACTTTTTTTATCACATTATAACCTTACTTTACATCACACTATACTTCACTCATATTTAGGCGACTTATATTTTGATATTTTAGTTAAATTTTAGAAATATTTGCCCTAAATAGCACTAAAACTTAAGTCATTTCCCTAAATATCAATTAAATTGTTTTATTCCCTAAATTGTGTTTAATAATGTCCAGTGTTCATAAATATTTACTTGAATAATGACTAATGCATAATGACTAAAAGTACTACATTGGAAAGAAAAACACATGTGATGCTATTTAGGAAAAGTCATTATATTTTAGTGTTATTGAAATAAATTGCTCTAAATTGTATCCCTATACATGGACTTTTCTTATTTTAAAATTAGTCTCTCCATCCCAAATTAAAGCATTTATTTACTATGCACATGGTTAAATTTTAATTATTTCCTGTGCCTATTTTCGTTCATCATTTGCTTTTTAGGGTTACGCCAAAATGGGGTACCCATTTTGGGGTGCCCTTAGGTTTATTCAAATTAATATAGTTGTGTCACCGTTTATTTTGGAGAGATTTTATTATGCACAAGGTTTTTAAATATATAAATTTTGTTTTTCAATTTCACTCCAATTCTCAAATAAATTGGGAAAACAATTTTTGGTCAAAAATCATAAATCAAAATAGTGAAACAGGCTATTTGAGTTGGGACGAAGAGCATTTATATTTAAAAGTTACATTAGATAAACTATAAACAAGACGTACGTGATATTTTTATACTCCCTCTGTCCGAAAATGATGTTCCCATTGTACGTTTTTTTTCGTCCGGAAATGATGTTCTCATTCTACTTTTTCATCTCAACTCTTCCAAAAATACCCCCACCCAAATATTCTACTTTCTTTCTCCCCATTTCCCCCCATGTTCTCGTTTTCTTCTAGCGCTCTTCCTTTCCTTTTTCTTTTTGTTTCCTCTTCTTTCTCCCAGCCCTTTCCTCAGCCGGCCAGATCCATCTCTCTCTCTCTCTCTCTCTCTCTCTCTCTCTCTCTCTCTTCTCTTATTTCTTTTTTCTCCTTTTTTATCAGATCGGCCATCATAGACATCATCTTCTCCTCTCTTGATTTCTCTCCTCACGCTGCCCCGTTTTGTTTTTTTAATTCTTTCTCCGTTTTCCCCGTCAGATCTGCGTGAAACCTAGGCTACCCATGGATCAGAGAGCCTCTTCGAACCACGAAATGAACGGATCGAAGAAGGGGGTAGGCGGATTTGATTTTGTGGCCGTGTAACTTCACTTCCTCATAGATCTATAGTCTTGGGATGTTCTTTTCTGCAAGGTAGGTAAGGACTGTGATGTTCAACGAGTGATGGCGGAGATGATAGGGGTATAGGGTTGACGGTGGAAGTTACGGTTGCGACGAGATGTCTGGTGCGATTGTGCGGTGGTAGCTGGAATCCGAGCTGGACAGTGGAGGGGCAGCGTACAAAGGGAGCAAGGGCATTTTAGTCTATTTAAGTCTTAAGTCAAGCCCTCTTAAAAATGAGGAAAAGTCAAACCGGAACATGACGGAGGGAGTATTGTTTTGCCGAATAACTCACAAAATTGAATTAATTAAATAAAAAGTAATTCCTGAAAAATAAATGAAACTTTAGTTTTGGGAGGGACAAAGTAAATGCCATTAATACTTTTATATTTACTCCATATTTTCGCAATAACGAAGGTACATAACGTGTGCTAAAAAATGGATTACATAACGTTGGTCTGCAGTGGCGTGACACGTACACGTACATAATATGATAAATAAAAAAATCAATCAATAAATCTTGCATACTTCAATTTGATTTTTTTTTTAAATTTGGAATTGCATTGCTCGCCTATGGTGTGACACGTATAACATTTTTTTCGATATTATTTTTATGTTTTAACCAACGACTATAGAAAATTTAAAAAAATAAATTTTGAGAAATCTTCTTTTTTATACAACCTTGTTTTAACAAGAATATGAAGTGTGATAATTTGAATAATCTAGATTTTGACAACTGAACTCTTACAAATTGGCTGGAGTGCTAGGTAGGTGCGGTGTGCGCCATCACACCATGTCACTCAGCGTCACGCCAGTTTTTTCTTTTCCATCGTTGCTCTTCATTGGACAAGGACACACCCATCACACACAATTCTTTTTCATTTTTTTCATTCATTAAAATCAAAATTATTTATAATAAAACTACTAAATAAATACTCTGTAATACATTAACATCAAAATTTAAAATTACATTGACATAATGAAGAAAAACAGCGATAGATGATAAAAATACGGAGTAGAATGGAGTACAACTTCTCATCTATATCCTAGAAGCATGGTTAATGAGTCGGGCAATGTGGAGTGTGTGTTTGTTAAGTTCAACTATATAAAAAATTTCATAGCAGGGTCAAAGAGGCCCTCTGATAGAGTCTAAAGAGTTTGGAAATTCTTTGGATTTTTGTAAACGGAGCCAAACTAACGAAACATTCAAATATTAGTATTAGCTTCATACACCATCCATTTGCGAATGACGAACACATAAATTCAAATATTTACTCTTACAGATTTGAACATTTAGCGATAAAACGTGATAGTTCACGCAAAAAATCGTTGAAACGGAAAGACGTATGTTGTTGATGGTTTCATTCCCTTTAGATTATTGATAGAGAAAATATAGATTACTAATAGGGAAAATATCACGTTAGCTTTGTAGATCTTTTAGTGTACTTTTTAAATATGTACTTTAGTTCTACCCCGTTATTCAAATAAATTGTTTTGAAAATAAATTCAGCCAAATATCGTAAATCGAAAAAGACGATTCAAATTGAAACGAAAGAAGTATAATTAGTTACATATGAGTATTTCAAAATTAACTCAAAAGTGCATAAACAAATAAAAATAAGACCAAAAAAATAATATTTTAGAACTGAGGAAATAAAAGATAAATTAATCAACACAATAAAATATTTTTTTTAAAAAAAAAAGAATCCATGGGCTCTATATATAAATGAGATGATGTGTGGGAGGCACATAAGTCAAAGCAATTACTCTCTTTACTCTCACAACTCCAAACTTTCTCTCTTCTTTAATTTCTTTTTTTTCCTTCCCCTCTCTCTCTAAAAAATCTCTGCGACTACATCTCAGATTGACACAAAAACAATCGGACGGCGCAGATCGAGCGACCGGCGCGGCAAATGGTGGACCTTCAGACGGTGTGTTGTATGTGCGGTGACGTCGGGTTTCCGGACAAGCTCTTCCGCTGCTCCACCTGTCGCCGCCGCTTCCAGCACGGGTTAGCCCACTCCTCCTCCCCCGCCCCCGCCGGAGCCCATCGCCCCGGCCATCCTCATTGTTTTTAATGCATTTACGTTTCTCTGCATTTACATCACATTTGTACACTAATTTTTTCTTACACTAAAATTTTATACGGGTGCAAAATTGAATTGCAATACTAAAATAATGTTAGTTTTACACTGCTATTTTGAACCGGTGTAAAAATTTAGCGTACAAATATAGTGTACGATTAGCATTATTGTTAATTTTAATCATTTTTTTAAATAAAAAGTAACATTACTCTCATTTTTGTCGCACTAGTTATCCATTTTTACATTTTTATCTTGCTAAAATATCTATTTTGATCTTATAATATTTTTATATGGTTCACATTGATTTCTATTCCCATTTTATATAATCTGAAATATTAATTTTAAACACAAACATCAATATCACTCACTGCATAGTGCTTTCTCATTTGGGAAAAATCATAGAACGGGGAAAAATCGGAATAGGTACATTCTTCTTGGTCACGCAAAAAAAAACTCATTCTTTTTTACTTCTTTCATTTTTAAAACATTGATACATTTTGATTTATTTGTCCAACTATGACATTGTTTCATCGTGAATTATAAAAACAATATATTTAGTTGTAATGTAAACTTAGTAAAATTATTTTGAGTGCCACATTTTAATTAAAAAAGTCTAACTATGCATTTTTTAGAAAGGGAAAGAGTACTTTTTTGTTTTCCAGAAAAAACTTTATTTTTGTCTAACCTTTAATTTTGATATTCTCTAAATAAGTTATAATAATATTTTTCCACTATTAAAGTGTTTACTTGTCAAAATTTAGCACCTCGAAACCTTTTGTGGGAATTTTTTTTTGGCACCGCCAAACAAGACTTAATTTATTAGGACCATATCTTTAAGTCTTTAACGTTTTGAGGGTTTATTTTTATTACCATACATTCCGTGCTCTGTATTGTACGGAGTACTTTACTACTCTCCTCGTCCAAAATCTTTATTTCCATTTTGATTTTTCTAGTAATTATATTTAAATTTTGATCACAAATTATTATATAAATTTAATATCTATAGATTAATTTTAAACCGGAGTTTGAAATACCATATTTTAATTACAATATATATATATAACTCGATCAGTCTCTAAAAACTCATCATGCATTGACTTTTAAGATATTCAAGAGGATTATATTTTGGTGTTAACTTTATAAAAATATACTTAAATGTGATGGGAGAAAAGAGGATGTGGTAGACAAATAATAGTGAATAGATTTGATCTATAGGTATGATAAAAATTAGTATGAGTAAAAGTCATTTTTTTAAAATCAAAAGTGGAAAGTTTTTTTAGGACAAATAAAAAATGAACTAGAAAAGTTAGGAATAAATTAAATATATAAATAGAGATTGAATAACGTATAGTAGTAAGCCAGATGAGAAAAAAATAAGAGACGAAGGAAGTAAATGATTAATAAAAATAAATTAAGAAAGTATAGTAGAAAATATGTAATAAAAAAAGAAAAAAAATTTGACCAATAAATAATATTTACGTCGTCACCAAAAAGGATGGTACTCCTCTTTGTTTTTATGAAAGACTTTGGATAACTTGCCATCATTCTTTCTCTACATCACTTTTAAGTGCTTTTTCGGTTCCATAAAACTCTTCTCATTTTGTTTTTTTCAATTCTCTAAAACATTTTTACTTTCTATTAAAAAATCACTTTTACCCATATTTTTCATATCCTACCTATCAAATCATATTTTTTCAATAATAACCAAACTATCATATCTTACTTTTCTCATCACATCAGGGGCACAATTGAAAAATCAACCAAAATTACATTTTTTTAATTTTTGCCCAAAGTCAAAATGGGAACGATTTAAAAGAACGAAGGAAGTATATTTTTCACTTTTCTTAAACTTTATCAAATCAATCAAGAAATTTTTTCTGAGATAGAGGGAGTAAGGCATTGTTTGGATAGAGCATTTTCAATTAGCTTTATCATTTTAAAAAAAATATGAGCTGCGCTAATATTAAATGCTACTATCAGATACTATTTTTAAAAGACTAACATTAATTTCTAACAGGAATGTCAAATGCTGCCTAAAATAAGAGGTAGGGAGTAATAGATAAGAACAAATTTTGAAAGAGAAAGTGGTATAAAGGGGGTGCAAAACTGCAAACATGGTACATACCATTTACTTTTAGGAGTGACTTTTGTAGGATTCTTTATTTTTTACCACCACATAACCCATACCTTTTACCTAGCTAGTGGCCTATAGTAGTAGCCTAGAGTCCTAGATTGTTGAAAATAGTACCTAATGGATAACTCCCAACATAAAAAGTTAACATTCTTTTAGTGCATGCGATCGATCATGCTTTTATGTAATGGAGGGTACCCCACAACGTAACGTACGAGTTTATTACGTGGTTACTGTGAGACACTATAGTAATATTCCTAGTTATAGTAAAATTGTATTATAGTTAGTTACCATATTAGAAGAATCCTAATCCTAATTGTGTTAGGATCTCTAGCTATATATACTCACATGTATTCACCTCTATTGCTTAAGTAAAATCCATTAATTCATATCTATTGCTTAAGTAAAATCCATTAATTCATATTAATTCAACATGGTATCGGAGCTTCACGATCCACCTCTCTGTCTCATGGGTTAACGCAAGCAGAAGGAAAAAAAATTCTTCACGCATAGGGTTTCTCAGCCGCAACACTTTTTTGTTCGGCAGTACCTTCCTCTCAGCCGCAGCACTATCTTCGGCGGCAGCACCTTCCTGTCTCTCAGCAGCAGCTCCTTCTTCAGCCCCAACATCTTCTTCGGCAGTCACCATGGCTCCCACAACAGCTGATCCGATGGATCACCTCCCCACTGGCCTCAAGCTATTCGTACAGAATCTCCAATCTCTTAGTCCGGCGAAACTTGATGATTCAAACTATCCCTCTTGGTGTCGTTGATAAGCGCGATTAGAATACCGAGTAGCAGAAGAGCCAATGCACCTACCTTGCCTTGGCCGTGGAGGGAGAGAAGAGGAACTGCTTTTTCGACGATGGAGGCCGTTCCTTCTAGGTGGGCAGTACTTCCGTTTAGGTCGGATACTCTGCACCGACATTGTCGATGCCCAGATCCGTGCATGTTTATTGGCCATTGTCTCCCCCACTGTTCAAACGCACATCCATTCTCTTCCCACGTCTGTAGCTATATGGACTCACCTTGAGCAACGGTATAATTCTCTATCTCGCACCCATATTTTTCAGTTGAAAGAACGTCTCCATAGTCTTCAAAAAGGGAGTGATTCCATGCAAACCTATCTTGACAATGTTTTGAATATTGTTTCCTCCCTTACTCTGGCTCATGAGCATATCTCGGACCAAGACGTCATCCTTTGCATACTCCGTGGACTGCCAGCGGATTATAGTTCTCTGAAACAGAACATTCAAACCAATATTGGGAATGTCAATTTAAATCAAGTCTCGGCTTGGCTTCTATCAGAAGAACTCAACATCAATCTTGAGAGACAATTACAAAGCACAGGTTCTGCCTCGTCATCTGTTTCGGAAATTCACAATGCCCTTTTCACAAATTCTGGCCGGGGTAATTTTCGCGGCCGGGGACGCGGTGGTTACCGCGGTAGGGGCAGTTCTCGAGGCAGGGGTACGTACGGCGGTAGAGGGGGGCCACAGCCTGGTTCCGTCACTTGTCAGCTCTGTGGGAAGCCGGGTCATGCGGTTTGGGATTGTTGGCACCGTTTTGATGAGTCCTACTCTGGTCCATCCCAGGCATACTTCACCACTCAGTCCACTGAGTGGTGAAGTATGCTCATGTGACTTCTGATTTATCTCGTCTGCAGTCTTCTTCACCATATCAAGGCACCAACTCTATAACTACTGCGGGAGGTAATACTTATCCCATTAATCACACAGGCTCAGGTATTTTAACCACCTCCCATCACACTTTCCACTTACCCAATTTACTCCACTCACCTAATATTAATGCTCATCTTCTTTCTGTCCATCAATTTACCAAAGATAATAACTGTTCTCTCCTTTTCACATCCAAGGACTTTACGATTCGGGACAACCGTACCAATCAAGTGCTATTCAAGGGCCCCTGTGAGCGTGGTATGTACTTCATTCCAGCGTCCAAGTCACCCGTGGTCAACATGGTCAAAGTCACCCCTCATCAATGGCATTGTCATCTTGGTCATCCATCTGTTCAAGTTACCAAGTCCTTTTTAGCACAACTAGGTTTTAAATTCCAAGAACTTGATCATTGCAATTCTTGTTCACTTGCTAAATCCCATAAGCTTCCCTTTCCTGTATCTGAAACAAAAGCATCTTCCCCTTTTGATTTAGTTCACTCTGATGTATGGGGACCCACTTCTGTACCCTCATTTGGGGGATTTCGATTTTATATTAATTTTATTGACGATT